GCAGCAGCAGCAGCTGCTGCTGCTGCAGCACATCTCCCACTCGTAGGAGACCTTCATTGCTGCTGCCTCCTGCGCCACTTCGATTCCCTTCATTTGCTGCTGTTACTGCAGCGCCTGCTGCTGCCTGCTTACCTCAGCAGCAGCAAGAGCAACTGCAGCAGCAACTGCAGCAGCAACTGCAGCAGCAGCAGCAGCAGCATAGACTCGATGCCTGTGGTGTCATTCAGAGCCGAGCCCGGAGTTTCAATGCCTTTGGCTGCTGCTACTCATCGTCAGCAGCATCAGCAGCAGCAACAGCAGCAGCAGCTGCTGCTGCAGGCGCAGCAGCAACAGCTTCAAATGCAGCATATTATTGTTCTGCTGCTGCTGCTGCTGCTGCTGCTGCTGAATCCGCTTCGCCACAAAGAGAGTCAAAGCTATATACGTATGCGCAGCAGCAGCAACTGCTGCTGCAGCTGCTGCAACCGGGTCTCTCCCCCCACGCGGTCCGCTCTGCTGTCACGGCATTGCTGCGGCTTGCTGCAGTGCAGCAGCAGCAGCAGCAGCAACAGCAGCAGCAGCAGCAGCAGCGGCGGCCGAGTGGGCCCTCCAGCGCATGCAAAGAGGTCCGCCTGCCCCTCATCCCGGGGCTGCTGCTGCCAGCTATCTTTCTACAGCTCCTGGGGCCCCCCCGAGTCAAGGGGGGCCCCCCACCTATAGGGGGCCCCCCACCTATAGGGGGCCCCCCACCTATGGGGGGCCCCCCACCTATAGGGGGCCCCCCACCTATAGGGGGCCCCCCNCTATAGGGGGCCCCCCACCTATGGGGGGCCCCCCACCTATAGGGGGCCCCCCACCTATAGGGGGCCCCCCACCTATGGGGGGGCCCCCACCTAGGGGGGCCCCCCCTGGGTACGTGCTATCTTCGGGCGTACGTACACCTCATAAAGGGTTTAAGTCAGAGCTGCGGCAGCGTGTGGAGTTGCTGAGGGCATTCGCTCTGCTGCTGCCTGCAGTGCTGCAGCTGCTGCGCTCTGCTGCAACCACAACTGAAGCAGCAGCAGCAGCAGCAGCAGCAGCAGCAGGGGAGCCAGCATCAGCTGATGCTGCTCAGGGCTGCTGCTTCCCGCATCTGCTGCAGCTTCATCTGGCTGATACTGCAGCAGCAGCAGCTCCAATAGCTGCAGCAGGTAGTGCTGCAGCAGCTAGAGTCGCAGCAACTAGTGCTGCAGCAGGGGGTCCAGCAGCAGCAGCAGCAGCAGCAGCAGCCGCAGCAGCAGCAGCAGCACGAAGAACTCCTGCAGCTGACGTGCAGCAGATAGCTTTCCAGGGGGCAGAAGCCGTTGCTGCCTTTCTCAGCAGCAGCAGGTTTAGGGATTTGCTGCAGCACCTGCTGCAGCAGCCTTCCTTCAGGGCTGCAGCAGCATCAGTCGCAAGAGCTGCTGCAGCAGCAGAAGCACAAGGAAACAGCAGCAGCAACAGCAGCAGCAAAAGCAGCAGCAACAGCAGCAGCACAAACTACAGGGAAGCTCCCGCTGCAGCAGCCCGTCAGAGCGAGACTTTGCTGCTGCAGCAAGGACTCCAGGCTTACCTCTTTGCACCGGTGGAAGCAGCAGCACAGTTGCTGCTGCAGCAGCTGCAGCAGCAGCAGCAGCACACGGGGGAGCTGCTGCCGCCATCCAGAGGGGCCCCGCTGGAGGCCCTAGGGGGCCCCTTGAGCTGCAGGCTGCTAGCAGCACTGGTGCGTTCTCTGCAGGCATTCGACG